TTAAGTCATATTAATTAAATATTTTTATAATAAATTTATATAAAAGATAAAAATTAATTTTAAAATTATTAATTATATTCAAGTAAAATTATCCAAATGTAATAGTGGTAAAACTAATATCTATTTTTATATTTTTAATAAAAATTTATTAAAAAAATATAATTATTATGAACTTAAAAGCGTGAGTAGTTACCGAATTATAAGCATGTGCACAAACCTTTAACAATAAGTTAAAAAAATTCATTTAAAAAAATATTAAAATGTTTTTAATATATTAAATAATAAAATACACAATAAAAACCACCCCTCCCGCTTCCATAATAATATATTAAATAATATAGTAAATCAACGGTCAAGATCTTAGGAACTCAACAACGTAAGCACGCAGCATCTGCCTTTACTGATGATTCTTCATAATCGGACTCTGAAGCTGAATTGCGATTTAAGGGCTCAACTTCTACGTTGTTTGCTTATCTGGGTCTGGTAGGATTCAAGCCTGGATTCAGTTTCAGTGCCTCTATAGAGTTTGTGATTCCATGGAGGCCTACAAGACATGGGTTCGGAGGAACAAGGACTACGTCCACTCCTTGGAGTCTCTTGCCAATGTAATTGTCTATCATCTTTCACCATAACTATTCTTATCTTTCTCCACTAACACTGTACTGTTTTTACTGTTAGTTCTCTTTTCTGGTTATAGTCAGTGTTGTAGTTTAGATTTTCTGTGGTGTTCATGGTGTTTATAGCTTTGGAATAGGAGGACATTCTTGGGTCTTGAATGGTGTCGTGATGTCATTTTGGTGGGAATTAATCTGGTTATTTTCAGTTCTGGATTAAGCGAACATGGTGTGAATAAAGGTGAAGTTTTGGGAGAGTGTTAGTCCCATACAACTTGAAAAGCACAGAATACCTTCAAATTTCAATCTTTCCAGTTATCTTTGTGGTTAAACTTAACTTAGGATCTCAGATTTTCTCGAGGAAAAAGAGTGTCCCTAGGCCAAATGTGAAACTGAACTTTTTGAGTCTATATGACAGTGGAAGCTACTACTTTTATGTACTACTGCAAAGCTATCTTTACTTATCTAAGTTGATTATATGTGTTGTTTGGGTTTTGAATGTAATATTGGTTGCCTACCGTTACTTGTAAGTATAGAAATTTAAGTTTTGATCATTGATTTTTGGATATGTTTTGATTTTTTTGATTAACATTGAAAATTATGTGCAGGGATTAACATGGCTTCTTCCTGAACGGTTTTCAACTTCAGAAATAGGACCAGAAACAGGTTTTTGTGAAATTTTGGTAACACTTGGCTACTTCTTTATCACTTAGAAATTTTTGATAAAATTTTTTCTTTCTACTTTCAACTAATAATCTGATTGGTTATTAAGACATTACTAGAAAGAAAAACAAAAAAACTAACATGTTATTTGTTAGTATTTCAGTACCTTTTTATCTGGTTCATTTGGATATAGCTTCTTATTTTTCCTGCTTGGTTTCTGTTAATGAGATCTTTCTTATTTAAATACTTTATTACTTGCATTTGGCCATTTGCCAACAAAAAAGAACCGATATATTTTTCTGTCATATTTTCCTTCTCCTATTCTCCTTTTTCTCCCCTTAAATTTCAAGGGTAGTGACATGATGTCTTTATTTTTAAAATCCTTTCTTTTTTCTGCAGTAACAACAGTTTTGGGAATAATCACTGCCATTAACGAGCATATAATTGATACAGCCCCTACTAACAGGCAAACCGGCTCTGCTGACTCATCTTCATTCCCTTATTCATTGTGCATATCTGCTCTAAAGGACATGGAAACTTTGGTTGAGGTTGTTGCTGAGGAGTACTATGGTGATAAGAAATGGAATTTCATTGCCATTACAGAAGCTACCAAGTAAGCAGCATCAGTAATATAGCCACTGCTACTGCTACTCTTAATCTCCTACAGTCTGCCACTTCTCTGTCATCCTATACAAGCATTATGTATTTGCCTAATAAGTGGTACTTAACGTGACTCAGGGTACTAGTGAGGTTAGCTTTGTTCCAGAACAGTGGTTATAAGATGCTTCTGCATGGAGGGGAAACACCAAATGTTGAAGAACAGTCAGATTGTTCAAGTTCTCAGCACAGATTTGGGGGAAGTCCTGGAGGCAATAATGGGCCTGGTTGGTTACATAATAATCATGGCAACAACCCAGGGAATCTAGAAGGAAGGGCATTGTCTGCTTTGAGCAGATTTGGAGAACATGCTAGGATGGTTTCTAGCCCATTATGGATGCATGGGATTCAACGTCAGCATGCCATCATGGAGCCTTCAGGTATTTTGTTTTTTTGGGTAAATAGCCTTCAGGTAATTGGTTATTTAGAATATACATAATTGGTCAAAATAACTGGTTAAATTGGTGGTAAAGCATTTTGATTCTTGTTGTTTCATTCTTTGCAGCTCCAAAGATTGAAAGGCCTACTCTGTCCAGGATTTTGTCTGAGGAGGGTCTTAGAGGGGCTTTATTTGTTACAGGAGAGGTCCTCTTTATAATGAGGCCACTTATCTATGTTTTGTTCATTAGAAAATATGGAATTCGATCATGGACTCCTTGGTTTCTTTCTCTGGCTGTTGATTTTATGGGAATGGGCTTTCTATTACATGTCACACAAGCAGGGAAAGATGAGAAAGGGCAACAGTTTCATCTTTCTGCTGCTGAAATAGATGAGGTTTGAGGTTTTTTCATGTACTTATTATTGCAAATTTTTCTATGGGATCTAACTGATTCGTTAATCTGGATAAATCCAACCTTCCTCAAACTATCTGCTTACATTAGCCATTGACTGATGTATTTATACTTTAGTTTTGCTGATTTCAAGTGTTTGATTCAGGTAAAAAGACGGAAATTGTTGTGGGCACTTTATGTCATGAGAGAACCATTTTTTACCAAGCATACCAGGTATTGACAAGTTACACACACACACAAGTTACTCCAATTATTATTCTGTTTCTTTGTTTATACTTCTCCACTAACAAATAATTTGACAAACCAGCAAGCATATGCTGGTTAAATATTGCAGGCAAAAACTAGAAAGTGCTGAAACTACATTGGAACCTGTCCCTCTAATTGGGACTCTAGCAGGTATGTTGCATTGAACATATTCTTGTATACCAGTTTTAAATTCATTGCAACTCTTTTCATGCTTATTTTGATTGCCTAAACTAATTTCTTTTTAAATGATACTTTTAAATATGCTTTGATTCTGCAGCAAAAATTGTGGAGCTTATAATTGGAGCTCAATCACGATACACTTACATCTCAGGATCATAAACAAGGAAGCTGCAATAATCATGCTTCTAGCAGTTTTACATATTTTTAGGTGAAGTAATCCTCCCAACCACCAGGTATA